GTGCTTGACAACGCTTTCAGTGAAGAAATTTTTCCTAATACCCAATCTAAACCTCCCCTGGTACAACTTCAGGCCATTTCCTCTCATCATTTGTTACATGGGAAAAGAGACTGACACCCACCTCGCTACAACCTCCTTTCAGGGAGGTGTGGAGATTGATAAGGTCTCCCCTCAGCCTCTGTCTCTCCAGACTAAACAACCCCAGTTCCCTCTGCTGCTCCTCATAAGACTTGTGTTCTAGACCCTTCACCAGCCTCATTGCCCTTCTCTGGACACGCTCCAGAAACTCGAATGTCCTTCTTGTAGTGAGGGGCCCAAAACTGAACACAGTACTCCAGGTGTGGCCTCACCAGTGCTGAGTACAGGGGGAACGATCACCTCCCTGCTCCTGCTGGCCACACTATTCCTGATACAAGCCAGGATGCCGCTGGCTGCCTTGGCCACCTGGGAACACTGCTGGCTCATGTTCAGCTGGCTGTTGACCAACACCCCCAGGTCCTTTTCCACTGGGCAGCTTTCCAGCCACTCTTCTCCAAGCCTGGAGCGTTTTATGGGGTTGTTGTGATCCAAGTGCAGGACCTGGCACTTGACTTTGTTAAACCTCATACAACTGGCCTTGGCCCATCGATCCAGCCTGTCCAGATCCCTCTGCAGAGCCTTCCTACCCTCCAACAGATCAACACTCCCGCCCAACTTGGTGTTGTCTGTGAACTTACTGAGGGTGCACCTGATTCACTCGTCCAGATCATTGATAAAGGTATTAAACAGAACCGGCCCCAGTACTGAGCCCTGGGTGGTGCAGGAAGAAGCCAGCTTGGCATTGAGTCACACTGCTGATGTTGACACCATTCACCTCAAGAGTATGGTCCCCAGGTGCTATTCTTCCATCTGCAGCAATGATAGAATCCCGCAAGACTTCCTTAACAATAGTGTTTCCTAGTGAGGGGTCTTTACCCCCAGCTATCCTCATTCTCAACTCTTCCTCCGGGTCTTCATGGTGAGATTTGTATTTGTTTCAGCCACAAAACTAACTCTGAGGAAGGTGGTCTTCAGTCTCCTCGAAAGCTGGATTAACTAGAGCTTTCTGTCACAAGTGATGATCCTCCACTTGGTACCTCTGGATCCTTGGGTGTGTTTGTCTCCACCTTGGCAGGGGGATGTTCCTTCCCTTTGGAAATGGGATTCTTTTTCTGCCACAGTTCAGACTTGTATTTCTTGAAACCAGGACAGCTGTTCTGCCGGTGAGCTTCACTGCTGCATTGTCTGCTGACACTCTGCCTTGAAACGGCAGGAGACAACCGGTTTATCCAACAGGTTTCATGCTAGAAGGCTGGACTTGTGACACTGCTGGAAAGAGAGCTTTTTCCAATCCTCAGGACAAATTTATACTCCTGCATGAAGTTTTAAAGGCATTTGAAACAGTACATGTCCGCAGTGGGTGTCCATAGGTTAGAGCAGAGCCTAAAGACATGTATGGCAGATGAGTTCATGAGCCACTTCATCCTGGAAGTTGCAGAAATGATTTCCCAGCAAGAGGTGGAACTGACCACGTTCACAGCGGAGTTCACTAACTTGGGATGTGTGTTCTTCTGCTGCGGGATCAGCCACGACAGCCAGCATCAGGGACTCTCAGGCCACCAGCAAGGAAACTTGACATATAGGAGCTGTCTGACAGAGGTCCTCTGTAGGTGCCAGGGAAGGTGACTCTCTCGTCCCTGGGAAGGGGAGGAAGGATGTGAGGGGAGCCCAGTGCCAACTCGCCTTTGATGGCAGCAATACCAATACAGGGGTCCTCCACCAAGTTCCTGGGCGGGGACGAAAGTCGAAACCTTCGTGAGAGGAGGCAGCGCAGCCACCCTGGTGTTGTCTCCATCCTCCTGCCCAGTGTGACTCAGCTCAGCCCTGTGTCGGGCTGCATACCCTGGAGTGAGCTAGTCAGATGCTGGTGAAAAGGCAACAGCTGTCCTGGGCTGAAAGACGCTGTGGTACCATAACCCACTCCAGTATGATGGCAGAACATACAGTATGCAGGGAAGGGTAGGTGGTTTATGCCAGTCTAGGAGGGGACCAGTGGGGCTCAGCTCCCACTCACTGCCTTGCTGAGCAGGGCCACACACAGCTACTGGATGTCTTTGTGCCCTGGATTCCCTGCTGATAGCAGGGAAACATTTTTTTTCAGGAAACTGGAGCTTTGCAAAGTAACTCCAAAAAACAGCAGATTTTCTTTCTGGCTTTTCTTAGCTTTCCTTTTTTGAGATACTGTAGAAACTTAAAAACGTGATTGGATTTGTGCATGCCTTTATTTATTGAGCTATTTATGATGGGCACAGATTTCCCTAAGCCAAAAAGCCCCCTCCCTCCTCCTTCCCCAGCCTTAGTAATCAGCTTCCTTGTGCTCCAGCCCACACTAGGCTATTTTCCTCTGTCAAATCCTCCATCATTGGTTAAATTACCTAGGTGTGTGTTGGCTTTATATTTTTTTTGTGAAATCTTACAATCTTTCAAGTCTACTTTGCCCAAGTCCCTGCCATTCTCTTAGGTCTCTTGTATACCCTGCTTCTCTTCCGGCTGATTCCGTAAAAAGTCTAATTTCAACAAGCTGCTGTTCTCAGGGCTGAAGTCTGTACTCCAGTGCCCATGATGATCATATGTGTCCATTAAGGCTCCCAAGTGCTGCAAAGCCACAGTGAATTGCAGTTGTTTGGATTCCTTTGCACGTGGATGTTAAATTTGTGCTTCCACCATCCCTTTCTCAGATGTTTGCCTTCCACATTTTGCTGCTTGTGTTCGCTGCAGCCTACGTTGCCTGCACACCTTTTATGCCACCATATTGTTAATGAGCACATTTAGCATGGGCCCTGGTTTGCTGCCAGGGTGGCTCTCCCCACACCCCCCCATGCTAGCAGCTGCCTTCTGACATGTGAAGACATGCTTCACTCAGTCTGTCGCATGAGCCAGTTTTAATCTAGGATGCTCTTTCCTTTTAGCTCCTCACAGAGATCACAGGACCCTGTTTAATCCAGCTCCCTGTTGGTGTACGGTTGAGTCATCGGAGGTTTTTCTTTTGCTGCATCTAATAGCGCTTTGCTATCAGGAGCGGAACATCAACCCGCCTGGCTGGGAGTTGGCACTGTCACCCAGCAGCTCTCCTTGTCTGGAAGTTGTTTTGATTCTTTTCTTAGACTTCTCCCTCTCTGTGTCTTTCTCTCTAAAACATTAATTTCCTCTAATTAGAGCCTCCTTAACAATTCTTTTTTCCCTTCTCCTCAGTTAATTTCCTCTAATTAGAACCTCCTTAATAATTCTTTTGCTAAATCAATTTCCTCAGTTAGAACCACCCGCCATAATTTCTTTCCATCCTTTCAAAAGCTGTCGGAGTAGCTAAGCAAATTATGCTTCTGGGTAACCTTTATCTCTTACTTGGTATTTTGAAAGAAGAACTGTAACAGGTTAGACAGGCACAATTTCCCCTTCCAGAGCTATGCTGCTCTGACCCCATTAGGTTATACTTAGCTGAGTGTTGTACTATTGTATTAATTAATTAATTAGGTGCTCTAGCTGTTCCTCTGAAACGAAGGTAAGGCTCTATTTATGAATGAATTAAACATGACACTTCATTATTCAGATCAGATTTAACAGTGTCAAAATCCATCTTAAAACCAGATCAAATTGCTCTCTAAGAATATGTAAAACCTCCTGCCCCTGTTAGCTGTCCTATGAGCCAGCCATTCCTAACTTTTTCTCTGCAGCTGAAGCAGCTTTATTCTTGTGACAGGCCTTTTAAGTACTAATTGTTTCTAAAACATTCCATTTTTAGAAAGATTTTTTTGTTTGTTTGTAATTTACACAGTAAGTAACTATTAATGGCACATTGCTTTTCACAATCATGCTGTGGGCCACATCAGCAGTTGGTATAAATGGGGAGGCAGCTGATTTACACATTACGGACCCTGGGCCTGAGTTTCCTCTTCTAAATTATGCAGTTTCTTCTCAGTTGAGACTGTATTATGCATTTCTTTATGTCTTTAAGATGGACCACAAGGAACCATCTCACTATGTCTGACCTTCCTGAAATCTACCAAGGATGACCCTCTGGGAGGAGCCATACAGTTTTGAGCTGTAGGAACACTCTCTCCCCACCACTGGTAGGTGCAGCAAGCGTAGCTCATCATGTTGCCTTTTCTCGTATCCCTTTCTCAGGTTAGCACCTAGTACCAAGCACAGATCTGACGGCTTCAACAAGTGTTGTCATGAAGGAGAGCACTGCGCTGCTATGATGCATGGTACAGTAGGGCCCAGCTCGTGCGAGACAGGCCAAAGAAAGCTACCTCACAATGGGCTCATGAAACTGCTTCTGGTCTTTGTAGCATAAGGACTTTCTCCCTCTTTTGGCAATGAACAATGTAAGCTGCATAGCCTGCTGTAAGTCCTGATCGCAAAGCAGAATGTCACCATGGGCCCTGAATAGTGTGCTCCAGTAAGACAGATGGGCCCTTCAAACTTGTGAAGTGCTTTTTACCACCATCTGATGAGACTCAGCAGCGCCTCAGTGGGTGGATGACTTGGGTGCTACTTGGTACTGCAAGTGGAGTGAGCCATGAGGAATGCTCCACAGGTACTGTACAGGGAGCTGGTGGAGGCTTGCAGCTACTCCATCCTTGTCAGCGCCTCTGTCAGCTTTCTGGACAGGTTCAAAACATTTTAGCCAAGCCCAGCTACTGTGGGAAAGCTGCCCTTTTTCACACTTCTTTCCTTATGAGTTCTCCAAGCCTCTAGCGCTCCACAAAGTCTGTTCTGGTGGAAGTGGCGCAGAAGTTATAAGATCAACTTTATTTCCTTTGCAGTCTTAATAACTATGCAAAAAACTCCATTTGCCATCACTTTCCATGGAATTTTGGAGTAGGATTAGATGGAAAAATGAAACTCATTAAGGTGTTTGTTTTTGACAAACTCCCTAATGTTTGTGTTGGGAATAGGACATTTTTGGGCAATCTTAGAAGGAGTAAAATGCTGGTGGTGCTGGAGAGGGGATTGTTTGGGAAGGGTAGATTCTCTAAAAAGATATGTTAGAACGCTAAAAAAAAGCTGTCTGGTTCTTCTCAGAAGAGATGAGAGAGTGGGAAGAGGGAATCACCAGGTTGGATTGTTCAGACTGACAATCAACTAACAATAGAAGAGATGCCGTTCTCTGTGCTCCTTGAGAAGCCCATCTTGCTGGTCTCCAGTCCATTCTAGCTGAGGTCAAAGAATGGCTAGAGATAGAGATAGGCAATCCAGTAGACAATATTGAAGAGCAAGAAGGCGGTGGGGAAGAAGACACGAGAGTAGGAGTCCAGGCGGGAGATGTGAATGCGTACCCTCCCTTCCCGCCACATTCCTGTCTGACAGTCCTCAATGCAGCAGAAGAACCTCTCGCACTCCTTTCCTTCCAGGCATGGGGAGCCAGGGTCTTCATCCTCATCCTCCTCTATCTCTGGGGGCCAGTGCATGATGTTGTTGATGTTGATGGTGGTAAAGGATGGCATCACCTGGGCACCGGCAGGTGGCTGTAATGAGGAAGGGTAGGTGGATTAAAGGGAAGGAAAAGGCAAGAAAACTTGTTATAGACACCAAAACTCATCCAATTGGCAACAGATCAATTCACAGCATAGGTGCAGTTCAGTGGAGAAGGATGACCGATCATCCCTCATCTCTGCACCTGGTTATAAATCACCACCTTGGTGCACTGTGGGGACTGGCAGCTCCCTGCATGACTGTGAGTTTCCTCCGTGGCACACCAGGACATAGCCTTAGTCAGCAAAGATCTAATTGCTCTGATTCCCCATTTCTGTCACTGGTCAGTGCAGAAACCGGACCTGTTTGGTTTCAGCTGTGCTAGCCTCTTCCCTCATTCCCCTGAGCTTAGCTGTCTCTGAATACACAGCACACAATCCAGATATGTCTTCTGGTTGCTGTCAGTTGCTGGAGAAAAGCTGAGGAAAGGGTCTGTGTGACTCATAACCTCTTGGCCCAACAGAAAAGGCCTGTCATCAGCCTCATGGAAGAGCTCTCTCCACCCATGCTGGGAAATGAGGCTGGCATAGAAGAGATCTGTCTTTTTTGGTTTCAGTTCTGTCCCAGTTCAGAGGCCAGTTTCAGCTGATGTGTCAGTAGCACCTGACATGAACTTGGGCAGATCTTAAAAGGATGATGACCAGTCTGGGTTCACTGTCCCCGCACTCAGGAGGTGTTCTTATAGACAGACCACAGAAGAAAGTAGGTTTCTGCATCTCTGTGACCTAAGATACCTCTGTAATCCACAGACATCAAACCAGTACAGGTGGAGGAACCTAGGTGTGGATCATCCTGTCTTAAAGTGGACATTTACATCATGTGAGTCATCCTAAACTGTACTGATAAGCACTCCAGCAATTCTGAAGAAAGTACAAGGTGCCTGGCTCTGACAGGGACCTCCTTGTTTTAGGGCAGTCTCAGCTGCTTTTTCTCATTGTGTCTCACCTTTCAGGTGCTCAGGCCCAGCACATAGAGTGGTCTGAGGACCTTATGAACCAGCATGGGTCAGACACTAAACCACATCAGCAGTTTCCAGTGCAGGCTCAGGAGGGATATTTCTGAATAACTTGGGGTTCTAAAAGCATCCATGTCTGCTGGCCCCTTTCACCTACCAGCCTGGCTTTCCTGTTGTTGTGCTTAAGTGGTTTCTTGTTTCCCACCAGGTAGTTGAGTGTAGCGTACTCCATGAGAGCTGCAAAGACGAAGATGAAGCACACAGAGACAAAGAGGTCCATGGCTGTGATGTAGGAAACACGGGGAAGGTGCTTGCGGGAGATCGTACTCAGTGTGGTCATTGTTAGCACAGTTGTGATACCTAAGAGAGAAAAGAGCTGGTTTAAGTAGTGAAGAGGAGCACTTCTGTCTTCTATGTGCATCCAGCCCCCAAAACATCCCCATTTCCCCTCTCCTGTAGGAGAGAAATTCCTCTGGTTGTCTGGTCCCATTTTTGCTCTGCTCAGCCAGACTCTGGCCTTGAGGTGCCCTCTGACAATGCTATATAGAAAAAGAGCTGTTCAAAACCCAGGTGTCACACAGGCTACCAGTGTGGACTGGTGGGGAACTGAGACTCTGCTTAAGGCTGTACAGAGGAACAGCTGCTTGGATGATGAGAGGAGAGTCCAAAGGAAGGACGTGCTAAGAGGCAGTAATACTGGATGGATGGCTTTGGGCAGGCAATGGGTGAGTGGGGATTCAGTCAGTGATGCCTGGCTGAGTCAGCAATAAGCATGGCGATGTCTCAGGTGACACAGGACTGTTATTTCTGTCTGATGTGAGACAGAGCTGGAATGCAAAGACCTATGTTCTTGTTCTCCCTGTGTCTTTAAGCATTTACTCCCAGGATGAATACAGCCCAATGCAAAGCTCATCATAGAATCACAGGACACTGTTTAAAGGTTTAAAGGTCATCTAATCCAACCCCCGTGCAGTGAGCAGGGACATCTTCAACTAAATCAGGTTGCTCAGAGCCCCGTCCAACCTGACCATGAATGCTTCCAGGGCATTGACCACCTTTCTGGGCACCCTGTTCCTGTGTCTCACCACAGTCACTGTAAAGAATTTCTTCCTTATAGACAGTCTAAATCTACCCTCTTTTAGTTTAAAACCTTGTCCTATTGCAAGAGGCCCTGCAAAAAGTCTGTCCCCATCTTTCTTGTAGGCCCCTTCAGGTACTGGAAGGCTGCTGTAAGGTCTCCCTGGAGCCTTCTCTTCTCTGGGCTGAGCAACACCAACTCTTTCAGCCTCTCCTCACAGAAGAGGTGTTCTAGCCCTCTGATCTTTTTTGTGGCCCTCCTCTAGATCCACTCCAACAGGTCCATTTCTTTCCTGTGCTGAGGGCTCCAGAGCCGGATGCAGGACTCCAGGTCAGGTCTCACCAGAGTGGAGTAGAGGCAGAATCACCTCCCTCGCCCTGCTGGCCGTGCTGCCTTTTGATGTAGCCCAAGATACGGTTGGCCTTCTGGGCTGCGAGCACACATTGTTGGCTCATGTCCAACTTTTCATCCACCAGTACCCCCAAGTCCTTCTCCGCAGGGCTGCTTGCAATCCCTTCATCCCCCAGCCTGTATTGATACTGGGGGTTGCCCTGACCCAGGTGCAGGACCCTGCACTTGGCTTTATTGAACCTCATGAGATTCACATGGGCCCAATTCTCAAGCTTGTCCAGGTCCTGCTGGATGGCATCCCATCCCTCAGTTGTGTCAACTGCACCAAACAGCTTGGTATCATCTGCAAACTTGCTGAGGGGGCACTTGATCCCACTGTCTAGGTCATTGATGAAAATATTAAACAATACTTGTCCCAATACGGACCCGAGAGGGACACCACTTGTCACCAGTCTCCATCTGGACATTGAGCCATTGACCACTACCCTCTGGATGTGACCATCCAACCAATTCCTCATCCACCAATCAGTCCACCCATCAAATCTATCTCTCTCCGATTTAGAAAGAAGGATGTGGGGGACCATGTCAAAGGCCTTACAGAAGTCCAAATAGACAACATCTGTAGCTCTTCCCTTGTCCACTGATGTAGTCACTCCATCACAGAAGGCCACTAGGTTGGTCAGGCAGGACTTGCCCTTGGTGAAGCCATGCTGGCTGTCTCGAATCACCTCCCTGTCCTCCATGCACCTTAGCATAGCTTCCAGGAGGATCTGTTCCATGATCTTCCCAGGCACAGAGGTGAGGCTGACAGGTCAGAAGTCCCCAGGGTCCTCCTCTCTACCCTATTTAAAAATGGGTGCAACCTTTCCCTTTTTCCAGTTATCAGGGACTTCACCTGACTACCATGACTTTTCAAATATCATGGAGAGTGGCTATGCAACTTCCTCAGCCAATTCCCTCAGGACTTTGGGATGCATCTCATCAGGTCCCATAGACGTATGTATGTTCAGGTTCCTCAGGTGGTCACGAACCTGATCTTGTCTTATAGTGAGAGGGATTTTGCTCCCCTAGTCCCCGTCTACCTGTACATCCACTTGAGAGGTGTGGGAAGAGACGTTAGCAGTGAAGATAGAGGCAAAAATGTTGTTGAGTACCTCAGCCTTCTCCTTGTCCATTGTTACCAGTTTGCCAGTTGTGTTCATCCAGGGGGTACACTTTCTTTGACCTTCCTCTTCTGGCTGACATACCTCTTCACAGTCTATTCATCTATTGATGTAGAGGATAAGTGGGTAGGAGATGATATGGAATCTTTTTTGACTTGAATGGAGCTTGGAATTGTTTTTCCAGTAGTGGTAATGCTCACAGACCTGTTTCCAGAGATAAAGTATTAGGAGCCAACAAAGGATCAGCTCCAAGAGTTGGTATCGTGATCTTATCCATTGCTTTTTAGGATGTGGAGAAAAAGCAGAACTCCACCTGTTCCTCCTTCGCTAACATTCATCTAAATCCACCTGCCACCCCTTCCTGGGGTCGCTCCAGTGGCTCTGGATGAGAGCATGGCAAGAGATTTTCATATTTTCCAGCAGTATTTGCATTAGCAGATGTGGTGTGACTTCCCATATATTTGAAATGCCAATGGAACTGCTCCAGTTTACATCTCCCTAATGTAGGCTGATAGGCTTGAAATGTACTGGGGATCATTTGTATTAAGTACAACAGGGGCTGTGGAGAGAAAACATTACTCTTGATGTGCTGAGGTCCCTTCCCACAGAGAGGGGCCTCCCTCCTGGGAAAACTTGCCTTTGTTTTTGAGACAGCCACTGTAGTGGTGTCAGCCATGCAGAACATTTTGCCTCTTACTGTTCATTCCTTTCCTAGCCACGGACTATGGCGTACCCTCACCTCCAATGGAAATGACACCTGACTCCTCCTGCTCTCTCCATGGGCACCAAAGAAATTGATTTTGATAGGGAGATGGGGAGAGATGGTCAGAACGGATGGCTGTGAATAGCCCTGCCTGATGCTGATGGTCTGATGCCTCTCCTCTCCTCCCCGCAGAGGCCTGCAGGCAGGGCTGGGAATGTTACCTCCAATTAAAGAGAAAGTCAGCAGGGCTGATGGGAAGGACAGCACTGGGAAGCAGAGCTTGCTGCAAAATGCAGATACAGCCAAAGTGCATTAAACATTTGTAAAGACCTCTCTAGCACCTATCAGAGCAGGATTCAATCAACATAAGATTTTTCCTGCCTCAAAGAGCCACTGCAGCTTGCTGAGAAAATCTAAACAACAGGTAGAGCTTTTGCCATGTCCCGGACTCCCTCGCTCCTGTGACTGACACAGAATGGTTGCACCTACACGGCTTCCACATCCTGCCAGTGACTGGGACTCTGTGGATACAGCCTAGCAACTTTGCTTATTACCCTACAACCTTCATGTCACTGGTCCTACACTGAACCCTTGAAAAGTCATGAGGAAACAGGAGCCCTTTGGCCAGCATTGCAATGCCACAGCTCATCCCTTCCTTCTCCATTTTGGTGCATGAGAATACCACATTGTCAACTTGGAAAAGGCTGTGTTCAGGTCTCAGATCAAGATATGAGAGTGTTGTGCTATCCTGAAATAATCCAGTGGTCCAAGCCAGCAGAGCTGTAAATTCGGTTGAGCTTGAGGATAGTATTACAAACAGAAAGACGGAGGAGTGGACTATCCTCCAGTAAGCTGAGTAATGCCAGAAAATGGCAAAGTGCTTTAGGAGATTTTGTACTCCAACACTGCCAGTCTGCTAGCCTTGCAGAGTTTGACAAGCATCAGACATGCTTACCCAGCTGTCTCTTACCCAGAGATGTCCTGGCTGGTGTAGAGTCTCTCTTGATCCAGAAGGAAACCCAGGAAAGAACAACAGTCAGGATGCAGGGAATGTAGGTCTGAATGGCAAAATAACCCATACGTCTACTTAAGTCAAAAGAAACTGTCATCACCAGGTACTCCCCTAGGAAAAAGCAACAGAGACATTGGAATCATAACGTGGCTTCCTAAAACACAAAAATCAGCAAAGTTTCAGAATCTGGAGTGTTTCTGATGAGGTTTTCTTGTTTTAAGTGCCTGGCTGGCTGGTTTTGGGGCTGACTTTGTGGCTGCCAGATTGTTAGCTTCATGTGGCTGGCTGAATAGGTTTGGTGACTTGCTGGCGTTGTGGCTGGCTTGCTGGTTTTGTGGCTAGTGGACTCTGTGGCTACCTGGCTGGTTCTGTAGCTGTCTGGCTTAATGTCTTTGTGACTAATTTAAGAGCTGACTTTGTGGTGCCCAAATGGCTGACTGCCTGGCTGGGTATGTGGCCACCAGGCTGCATTTGTACTGGCCTGGCTATGTGGCAAAGCATACTGAAAAGCATACTGTCTGTAAAAGTTTCAAGGAAGAAACTATATAGAGTATTCATTTTTAGCTGATGGCTGCAACGGTTTCTTTTCTATGGAAGCTATTTAGCTGTAACAGGCTACATGTCCTGGCTTGCCAACTAAATACCTGACCTGTGACAAAGGAGGTGTCCATCAATCAGTTTCATCAAGACTCTGGTTCTGCCCCTGGAAAAGGTATGTGGACCTGTACCTTCCTAATTGCTCATTTGGCACCTTACAGCTGAGGTTCTTCCTCTTTTTCAGAAGCTCCTAGCGAGTATTGGAAAAAAGCCACCTGACAGCTCTAGGGTTAAGATGGAGCTTGCAAGCAACTACAAAAAAAAGAGAATTACAGACATCAAACAGTTACTGGTGCATTCAAGACACTTTCACTGCACCAGTTCTTGTCCCCATTCGTGCTGCCTTTCTTACCCCTGTTATAGGCTGGCTGCCAGTGTTGGCAACAGCAGCTTTCTGCAGAGTGGGAGAAGCACTACCTGAACTTGCTGCTTCAGAGGGCTTAAAAATACGAGCTCACTCCACCTGCAGGAATCCAAAGAGGCTTTCCTCAGCTGTCTGTAGGAAGGAAAGGGGATGTGAGCTATTATGAGGAGGAGGAGATGAAGGGCCTCCGTTCCCTGGTTTCTTCACACATGCAGCCTTGTTTCTGTCTCTTAAAGCATAATTCAGGTGTTCATCAGCCCCACACAACTTTACAGAAGGAAAGACTGAGACCTGCAAGTTCTGATTTCACCACTCCTGTTCCAATTTTAAGCATCACCTAGGGATCACATAGTATGCACATACTGCAGCAAGAGGGGATCTGAGCTCCTGAGCCTTCAGTTATGGATAGCTTCATTCACATCAGCATTGTCACCCCACAGTTCACAAATGCCAGTGATTCTGGCCTACCCCTGCTTCATCTTCCCCTCATGTTTCATCACGTCTGCTCCCTCTAGCAAAGGTCCATCCCTTCATTCTTACATTTTTCTAACTGCTGTTGTGACCTTTCTTCCCACCGTTGTGGAGCTATCTGATGACTCCTTTGCCTCCCACAAGGTCTCCAACACATTGACATTTCTGTGAGCTGTCTCCCTTTGCCTCACCTGCCCCAGTCCTGAGAACTTCCGAGGTGTTCCTCAGCCCCGTGAAGTCAAACTGGTAGAGCCTCCAGGTTCGCTGGTCCGAGACCTCAATGGAGTAGCGCCTCCAGCGATAGACGATCTCCTCACGTGGGTAGCCATCTGGGAAAACGGGCAAGGACATCAGTGAAAGAGTACCTCACTTGCCTCCACCTCATTCACCACCCTGACTGCAAAAGCACTGGTATCTCACTCTAGCTGTTCTGTAAACATGAAGCTTTCATGCAGGTATTTCTGATGCCTTTTGTTTAGATTCCCTTAGGCATCCCCGTGTGCAATGGGAGTAGGGACAGCATGTCCGCTTGTGGGCCTCTTCAAATCCTAGGAATGGGAAAAGCAATGCTAGAAAGGGAGCCTTTCTAAGGACTGCACTGGTGGGAATGAGACTTGAGTTGGTGTAAGAGGAGTCCTCCAGCCTGAAATCTTTAAGAGCTTTAGCTCCCTGGGGCAGCATGAGGCCTTCACAACTCCTCATGACTACCTTCCCTTCCCAGGTATGAGTACACCAGGAGTACAAAGCTGCTAATGTGAGATGTAACATGGCTGTGGCTGCTCTGACTATCTCGGTACCTCTCACCCTGGGAGCTGATCTTTGTATGGAGAAGAAGGGATGGATTCTTCGCGGAGAAGGAGACCTGCCTCCTGTGGGCTGGAGCATGGCTTCTCCTGGCTCTGTCTTTCTTGACAAAAAAACAAGCCTACTGTGAAGCAGGGACCTCAACACCTACGAGAGAGTTCCTCAGAGGAGTGAAGGAGCAAGAGCTTGGCAGCTAACTAAAAGTGTTTCTAATTATCAAGCACGTATCGCATGTACTGTTAATTAGCAAAGAATGAGGGATGGTGGGAGATGAGGGGATGGTATCTCCTCAGCATGCTGCCTCCCTCTGAAGCACCTCAGAGCCATGTGAGCTGCATCCCTTCAGTGGCAGGGGAAGTGGGAAAGGCAAACTCGAGCTAAGACGACTAAATCAGATTTCCAACCAACGCATGAGGACAGGAATCTCTTGGTGTAGAAAGGCTCCCTGCAAAATTACCAGTGGAGATGTGCCACCATCAGCAGCCCTCTCTGCTGATGAGAATGGACAAGTGAGGACTGAGAAGTGAGGTCTGACTATCCCTCCTTTGTGATGGCTCTGGGTGCAGAAAGTGGGCCTGTCTCTGGGCTGAGGTCTGGAAAGCAAAGCTGTCCCCTCAGAGAGTGGGAGAAGGGGAAAGATGCAAGGCAAGACAGGTGCCATTCATCTGCCAGCTGAAGGGATATGTTCTATCTAGAGTGACCAGAAGGTCAGTGAAATAGTCACCTCCAACTGTCCACCCAGATTAAGAAGAAACTCAGAGGTGCTGTGAATCTGTCTCTGCAGACCTCTGCTAGCCCCAGAGTGGGAGGATGCTTCAGGGCGTGATGGGTAATGGCCCAGGAAAAGAGTCATAGAGATTAGGTGAAAAATGTAGCCAAAAGGGAGGATGGTTTCCCCAGAACAGTTAAGAGTTTTACTCTACTGAGGTTTCTCTACTTGCCTTCTGAAACTATTTTAAAAACATGTATACTCACAACTAGAAAAAACCAAAGGGCAGGAGTGAGTGTCCATTGGGAAATTCTGCAGCTGGAGCAGACATTCAGCCTCGATTGTCAGCCTGAGGGACGAAGAAGGAGAGAGGGAGACTGAGATTTTGTGTTGGTGAAGGTTGTTTTATTCCAGCACCACAATGTGACAGAAGGATTCTTGCTTTCTTGAAAGTGAAACATTAATTTGTTGAAGATCAGTCTGTTTGCAGTAACATTTCAAAACAGCAGCAAAACAAAACATATGTTTGGATATTTTCAAAGTGAGAAAAACCATCTAATTTTCACATTCAGAAAGCCTTTTTGTTTAGTGAGCTTTTCAGATCCATTTATGGGAGTGAGAATTTATGGGAACAAAAGCCAAATGTTTATTATCAGAATAAAATAGCTGGACTGACCAACATAAAGTTTTGAAGGATTTTGGTTTAGGAAACAAATTGTAGTTTTGACTTTTTTCTAGGTATGATACAGAAAAACAGTTTGATTTTTTGGGAGTCTTCATCCTGCATCCATTCTGCAACCAGTACTTTATGTGTACTTCCATCAGCACTGGAAGACATCTCCACTACTCTGTCACAGGGTACCAGGAAACCTTCTCTACTTTGACCAGCTCCTTGTTCCCTCACCTCAGCAGCCAGCTACAATGCCTGCTGGATGTACCTTAGTGTGTAGAGCACTTTTCCGTCATTCCAGATGCGGAGGAGCTGATTGGGAGTGGTTATCCAGTGCGAATCAGCCCGCTTGGAGTTCCTAAAAAAGGTATCTGGGATCCAGATGCGGCTCACCATGTTGGTGTTCAGTGTGAGGGCCTTCAAGGTGCTGTTGAAACGAAGACGCCGGTCGTACCACGTCTGAGCAAAGAAGATATCAATGGTGTATTCCTGTGAAAGAGAAGGAAGAACATGTCTTTCTAAGAGGGATTCAGGCAAAGCCCAGGTGTCCTCTGGTCTGCAGGCGACCGTTTCGGAGTCACAGCCAGAACATTTGGGTTTTAAGCCTGGAAGCAGGTGTTAGTGACCACTGGCACTGTTCCAGGCTCATCTTTAGCTTGGGGTCAGGATACCCATGGCACACCTAGGAAGACCCAAAGACTGTGTGTTTGACGAGTGGGCTGAGCCATAGCATGTTTGGCCTGACCTGTGCCTGGAAAGCCAAGACCATACAAACAAGGGCTTGGGCTTCCCCTTGATGGACAACTCAGGCCAAACATTCATTTTAAGCACAAGCACGAAGGGGCAGTGTGGCCGTTGGCTGAATCCAGTCCTAAGTTCAGCTACACCTTTCAAACACAGGCAAGGAAAGCAGCTCACCAGCTTACCAGAGAAGGCAAGCAGACAGCTCTTTCTGTTGTTTATTAGGATACAGCCCAGCAGTGCTCCCTACACCCAATATGTACATATAGCAATAGTAGTGTTGTGCATAAACCTAGTGAGAATCCATCCCTTGATGCAGGACTTATACTGTAAATGGTTTATGTGAAAAATCAGGGCAATATAGGTTCCTGCGCAGAAACCCCTTGCTGAAGATTAGAAAAGGAAGCTGGGGCAGCGGCTGCTATGGACCCAGCTCTTGGTGCAACCAGTTCAAAATCGAGTGTTTTGCAGACAGAAAACAGTTTCCACCATAATCAGGACCTTTGATTTTGGTGAGAGAGAGGGCGTCCTAGCTCACCCAAAGTAGCATTGCTGGGAGGCAGCTCCTGTCTGGATTGGACTGGCAGTAGTCCACATCATTAGCCCACTGTTCTGCTGCTTACTGCTGCAAGCCAATTTGCTCCTTACCCTCTTATTCAGCCTGCCTGAGAAGGTGCTAATTAGTGTCATGCAGGAGCATGTCCGGTACTCGGCGGCTGTCTGAACCAGACCCCCAAATGCAGTTCCACCAGCCCATACTAAAGGCTGCCACCTGCTCCTGACAGCTCCTCTCTGACTTGGACTTTGCTCCCTTTTACTCTTGTTAAACCCCCCTGACCACAGAGGCATCGTCTCCCTCTCTCCTGTGGGCAGAGGAACAATGTCTGACTTTGCCATCTCTCCCTCTCATTCTCCTCCTCCCTCTATTGATTTATCTCGGTGGAATTTTTATGACTGCAGCACATCCTCCCTCCGCTGCCCTCGCTGCTGGTACAGAGCCGATTTCCTCAAACCCCATGCCGTTAAAATAGACACAGTGCTCTTAGCACACTCCCTTGGACACCATGTCCTGCTGGGGGCAGGCAGAGCAGGGCAGCACACGACTCCCTGCATCGTTTTGCTCACCCTCGCTCCGCTGTCAGCCAAGTGGTGATGAGTGATTGGTACCCAAAACGTCCCTTGCATGGGAATGAGATAATGAGAAAACAGCATTTGCCACCAGGCAGTCGAGTCACTCTCTGGGCTGATCTTTCACCCTGGTTAGACACAGGCATGAGCAAAGGTGACAGGGATGAGGTCCTAACACATCTCTAAATGGGGACAGATGCAACATGTTCAAAGTGATGGCATTGCCTCTACGGTTCATTCAGAAGAGATGTGAGGAGACACAGAGCTAGGATAGCAGCAGCCCTGAAAGCCAAGTGCACAAGCATGGTCACTGCCTGATAACAGGAGGTGAGGAGAGCCCCTTTCAGCATCCAAGTACTCTGGTCGTACTGGGTACTGCTTGGATGTAGGGTATGTGGTGATAAAGGCATGGCTTAGTTTGTTAAACAGTGAAATAGAGCCCACAGTTTGGGAAAGAAGCAGTGGCACAGCAGGGACAAGATGGGGCAATGGCAGACCAAGAAAACAACATATATGGGGAGGGCTGAGACATTTTCTTTTCCTTGCCAGATATTGGGGCCAAAATAACACAACATTTGACATATTCTCCCCTCCCCCCCGCAAACCCTGTTTGAGCCAGTATGAGCCTACATTGCTCCTCCTCAGCAATATCTCTGGTGTAGAAGAAAGCAACCAAACATGCAATGATAAGTCCATGTTAGATGCCACAATTGCTTCCTGACTCCTAACTGGAGTCACTTGTGAGATCTCGCTTCTGGACTGACTGCTCAGGTCAGATGTCCCGCTGTAAAGTTCAGCATTCAGATCTGGGATAACCAAAGCTAACATTTCAGGAAAGTGGAGGGTCAGCTATCCCAGGGGTTTAGTATTTGCTGTCAAGCCCAGATTTTCAGAAGGGATCAGCATTAAAGAGCTTGTGCCATTCATAGCCAGCCTTTGCAAAAGGTGTAGTGCACAAGTCATTCAGCTCTTCTGAAAAATCTGAGCTGTTATTGTCACTGTCCTGTGGTTTAATCTAATTTCAGCAGCTATTATAAGCACAGCTATTCACGTGGAAGAACTTACTAGCAGAGCTGGCTCCCTTGCCTCTAGGAGGGGAACCCATTGGGAAATGTTGGCATTTACAAATGTATTTTCATTCAGAATTATCTGAGGCAAGATTTATACAAAAATGCTCCTGCTTTTGGGAGCACTTTTACCCTTCCAGTTCTTTCCCCCATCATGCGAGTAAGCGAGTGGCTGTGTGATGCTTATTTGCTGGCTGGGGTTAGACCACAACCGTTCCTGAAAACTGTTGTGCCTGTTCCCATCAGGTGCGGTTTTCATTCATGCTGAGGAACCTTGCAGGACTGTGGCTCTGCACTGATCAGCTGTGAGACAGTGCTCAGACCTTTCTCTGAGCATCAGTCAGATCCCACTTAGCTGTAGGCATGTGACCAAGGTGATCAGAACAGGAGGTGTTTGACCATGGGTTCCCTACAGTCCCTGGAGAGGGGTAGGCACTTCTGGAGGGACACCCCAATATGAAGCGGTCCAAGTTGTCTTCTGGAAATGCCTCACACTCTTACTGACCTTAGAAGAATCCAGGCTGATCAAGGCTGAATAGGTGAATTTTGGCAGGATGAGGTCAGCCGCTAAACCTTATGGCAGTGCTGTTTCATGAACTCCTGCACCTCTGTAGTTTCTCTCTGCCCCTGATTCATTCTCAAGCATCAGAAGGAGATTTCTCAAAATCTCTATTTCCCCATGTGGAAAAAGGTTATCATAAAATACGCCTCCGACATTACTGTACCATCTGCTATGCAGCGCATGGAGGTTGTTAACTTCTCTGTAAAAGCACGAGCTTTTTTAGTATTTTCCACAGAAGGAGCCAGCAAAACGAGGAATTGCTCTGAGAGTCAGGTCGTGCCATTTGGATCACACGTGGGGTAGCACACACATGTTAGCATGCAATATGCCATCAAACTTTAGTCATAAAATAATAAATCAAACTACCTGTAAGGCAAACACTCTAGACTGCCTACCCTAAGTACTATCACGTGAGTTTATGCCATGCTGAGGAACGCCCTGCAGTGTGGCTGCTGCTGGCTGTGTGGGCTCGTGTCCAGCTCAGCCTTTCAGCATGTCCCTGCAGGCCCTTGGTCACTGTCATCACCTGGCACTGCCGCACACCACTGATCAGTCCTTGTTTTCCTCAGGTGGGCAGCACAGATGCTGGTGGAAACCCAGTTCCAGAAAATGGTAAAATCTGAGAACATTTAGTGGAAAAAAACCTGTCCTGTAAAAAAGCATTTGTGGGAAATAAGAGGATGTGGGGTTGAAAAGAATATTTCATTTTGGAAGAAAAAAATAAAACAGCAACAAAAAGATTTTACTGCACTCTCAAACCCTTTCATTTTTAAAGCATATTTTAAGTGACAAGCTATGGAATTTCTGTGTGATAAGTCATTTAAAAAAAAAAACACCCAAATTTTCAATCCAAAAGAAAATAAACATGTTCAGAAATCAGCCTGTCCCCAGCACAAGAGAGTTGGGAGCTGGCCACTGTTCTCATTGTGCACTACCCTATGCCCCGCTCCTTGGGTGGCCCCAGCCCCAGCTACTCTGCCCCGACCTTCATGGCTCTGGAGCAGCTCCCTGCTCCCCATTCTGATGTCCTGACTGTCCCAGCCTGGCCCTGGTGAAATCCTCCTTCTGCCTCCTCTCTCACCTCTGTGTGTATGTGCACACACATGGGGAATCAGCCTGTATTTCCAGTTGGCTCTGGCCCCAGGAACTCTAAACTAAGTTCCACCCTGATTCAGAGGAGATATGAGTTAGAGACACCCAATATCTGACTAACAGCTTAAACTCACAGGGTTATCATGACAAAACTTGAAATTACCAGTTTGTATTTTCAGGTTACCTTATACACCAAATAAACACAGCTATGCACTGCCAGAAAATCCTTTTCAAATGGCTCAAAGCAAGTTTGTGTGTGCAGTTCAGCGGACACCTCTCAAGGGTGCAGTTAGTGGGGTACAGAGGAGTTGGTACCCTGTGGTTCCTCTGTATCCATCTATGAGCTTCTTTCTCTGTGTTCTTTAAGAGCTCAGCTTTCTGACAAATGCCAACGAGAGAAGCAAAACCATGAGATGAAGATGTCTTAGACGTCTTCCTGAATTAGCATAAAATTAAGGATTTAAAGGGATTTTTTTTGCAACTTCACTTGTATTCAACAGCAATAAGAAAACCTCCAAACAGAGAAGACAGAGACCTGGAAACAGGTTCCTCCATTTTCCTCTGCTGGAGAGTTAGTTTGGAAAAATCCTAAATAACAGTGGGGCTGAGAGATTAATATCCTAGCCAGTCTCATTCTAGGTTTTATTGTTTTGATATTTGTTGTGATTCATAGAGCCCCCGTCCCTCTGCACCTCCAAGCAAATCCCTCGCTGCAGTACAATAAAGCAGGCTGCTTTCCAGGCAAGCATGGCCAGCATTTCAGGTGGACTGATGTGAATCTGATGGGTCCATTGCTGTCAATCACTGAGCTAAGCAAAGCAACTAGTACAGGCATTGGGGTGCTGCAATTCAGGAAAATCTCTGGAGTTACTGGGGGAGACCCAGGAATGGCGTGTATT